GAGACTCGGCCCGGCGAGACTCGGCCCGGCGAGACTCGGCCCGGCGAGACTCGGCCCGGCGAGACTCCTTACTTTTTGTTCCTCATTAATAACTTCAGTTGACGTGCACACCAATAAATTTAATGTTTTCACTGAGTAGCTCTGTAATATTCAGATTCAAGTGATTTTGACAAGTTCTATTGTGCGATCTAATTATTCAATATTCATAATTTCATAATACAGGAGGTACTACAAATAAGAGTATTAATTTCATTTAGATTGCATAATCATTCCATATAAGTAGAGGCAACTAATCTTTCTCTGTAATTCCTTGTAATTGTGACATTTCCATATCACTTAATGCTGCATGTCCATGTATCCCCACACATCATCCAAATGTTCATTTTATTTATAATTGCCCAGGAAGACAAGATCCAAAAGACTATAGAATAAAGTTAGATAAATAGTTATATATATAGAATGTAACGATCATATTGATCCGTCATAAATGCTTTTTTTCTGTGTCCTCTAATGACATGGAAGTAATCAAAGTAGTGTCCATAACCCAGGCATAATTTGCACAGGTGAAATGATGGTGTCATTGCTGTGGTATTATCGACCAGAACATACAGAGCAAGGTCGTCGAGGAGATGATGTGGAAGACGAGATCTTTGCATCACGGCATAAAGACACAAACTCGGTGGCATGCATTGAAGACAAATGCTACGTGCTTACTTTTAATGAGTATTGCAGGTGAGTTTGTTGGACAGTTAAGATGTGTTATTTTGGGCTTTTATAAAGTACATCCTTTATTATAATTCTATTTTCCTGGCTTTCATAAAATATCATACCTTTTTAACATTAATGAATAACTCTGGATATGGTCATGTTTATTGATTGGTATATTTTGCTAGGGAAAGATTGGTCTTTGTTAGTATTAGCTGGTAATCCAGGATTCAAGGAAGAGAAAAGTACCGAAGGAAAAGTGTGAATGCATTTAATGTCCTTTATTATATTTAGGGAGTGGATTTCTGAGATTTGCCGAATTTTGTTTTCATTGCTTCAGGGCATAGCTAAGCGAAATTTCTTAATATTCGGTTAGGATTGGATGCAATGTAGATTAATATGTGTGTGCATATTTGGCCAAATTTTTTTGTTGGTGCATATTCCTATAATTAAAAGAGCATATTTTGCATATTTAGTGAAAATAGAGGCTTATCTCTAAAATGTTTCATGTTTCCATAGAAACTATTTATTTGCAAATGTTCATTGATTAGAAAGAGCTTGTCACAGTTTGAGGGTTGTTTCCTTTCAAGAGATGATAAAATGCCAGTTTAATATAGAATATTTCTTGATATCATAATTTTTAAACCAGACAGAAAATAATTAAACAAGGCATACAATGTACTGGTCTAAGGTGCATATTTACTTTATTTATTTCTCCCGTGAAGTAAGCTAGGTTTTATTCACAAAAATATATATTTTTAATTCAAGCATGTTTATCCTGAATTTTATAGAGGAAATGAAACATTGTTAATTTTAATTGCATATTGAAGATTTTTTAGGGATTAAAAGCATATTTCAAGATTTTTTAGTGCATAAAAATCCTCTCCCAAATTATATTATTTTGATGAAAAGACTTGATTTAAATGCTTAAGTATTGTTCAGGTACATGAACATTCATTAATGAATGGGTTGTTGAAGTAGAATATGCATTAGGAAGAAAACAGAAATGTGATACTACAAATTGGTTTTTAAAATTGGAATTGTTCTGAGTTTTGGGATTCTACCAGGTTTTGTCAAATGGAAAAATTTGGTAATTATTCTAAATACACTAGTTGAAATTTTGGCATTCTGAGAACAGCAGCTACTTTGACTTGTATGCTGATCATTAACATATTAAGCCAAAATGTTTCTCCCGTGTTCTCTAATTTGGAATTGAAAAGAAAAATACCTGATTATTCATTGATAAAAAATTTACTTAGATCTAGCATGCAGTTTCATTTCATTTTATTATTATTATCATATATTCCCTACGGTATATTGCAATATTATTCCTAATGTTTTCAGATATCGCCGTTGTGTGCGTCGTCTGGAAGAAGGAATAACTGAACCCGGCCTTGTAGTACCACGGTTGGACTCGTACCCGAGGCGAAGTCGCCAACCTCCTGGCTGTGTTGCGCCAGACATGGTGTTCTTCTGCCGGCGGGTGTATGACTACCGGACAAGAAGGATTTTGAAGAATCCAGGATGAGAGGAACATTTGCAACACAAAGACTTCAATCAGCAAGACTTTCCATTAGGTGCCTCTGGCTAATCCAGCTGAGGGGACATTTTGTCAATATAAATGGACGCAACTTGTTTGTTCCTTCATTGGTTCGCCAACCTGTGAATCACGGCGTGCCCTTAATCGCAGGGCAGGGAGGAATATGTTGCATATCGTTTTGTACAGCCATCTGCTGTAGATTCACGGATGTTGCCCTAGACTTTGTTACTCCAAACTAATAGTTTGTTAGGCATTATAATTATTAAATCAACTTTTTGTGATTCCCAATTATATATATTTATATACAGTATACATATATATTATTGTTATATTTGAGTCAGTCATGTTACGTTTCCAAAGTGTTTCAATGGTTCTTCAGTGCTCTGCGTATCTACCAGGGCACTTCGGGGACAAGGTCCCAGTGATATATGGTTTTTTCCAAAGATCATGCTTGTACCATTGGTCTGAGGGCCCTCCCTTAGAATAAATAACTTACTATTATTTCTTTATATACGTATATGTCATAGTTTGTTCATTTTAAGTTTGTCTTTCCAGTTGAGTTTAGTTGTAAATTATTGTCTATTTATTTATTCAAACCGTCAGAGTGAACCAAACGCTTTCTAGCCTGTGGGAGCAGGATAGGTCGCAGCTCTCCTTTAATGCACCTGGCTCTATTTACAAGTTGTCTGCCACTGAACATCAAGTACAAATCATTGTGTTAGTACACTTTGTATGCATGTTGCTTATGAATTTTTATTGTGAAGTTAAATCAGTTTGCAGACAGCTATAATTTGTCCTTTTAAGCAATTTATTTTTTAGTTGATACTGTAGAATTTCTCTCTGTAGGAGAGTTTAGAGAAAAAAAAGATTTTAAAAAATTTATAAGGTGTGGTTCATAATTTTTTTATTTTCTGGGTTTTTTTGATTGAGGTTTATTGGTATCTTTAACATTTTGTTACCTTTTAGAGAAATTTGTAAAGATTTCAAGTAATCATTGTTATGATGTTGTGGAATATAGAAAAGAGATTTTCCTTTTTGTGTAAGAGTAAAGAGCAGAGCCAGGTGGAGAAAGGGTAAGCTTTCGACATGCATATTGTAATATAATGTATCTTGTTTTGTTTCTGAAAGGAATTATGATTGTAATTGAGGTATGAAGTTGATTCGTGAAGTCTCTTCCAAGAATGGCAAAGTGTTTCTTTTCCTACCAATTCAACAAAGGACATCTTCACACAAGGTGTACAGTGGTTGTGAGAGCTGCACATGGAACCCATAAGGACACTCGTCAAGAAGTGTCTTAACAGGATGACAACATTGAGAATGAAGTACTGCCAGTGCTTAACTTCATTTCTGCAGAATTTTATTTTTGACATCATTTGCAAAGAAGTGTTGATGTTCAGATAAGAATCATGAATTTCTGTGTTGTGCTATTGAGAAACATTTGGTGTGATCAAACTGCTTCAGGGTGAAGTGTGCAAAGTGAACATGAAGCAGAAGTGTGAAATCGTACTCTCACAACCTCATGCACCTTCCTGGAGTGAACATTGTCTCCAATCGCCCCTGCTTGTAGCTATTTGGGTGGAAGGGTACCTTCGTGGACCCTCTCCATCCAATCTCCAATCTGTCAGCTTGCTGTGTTTTGCAACCTGCTCTCCGCTGTAGTACCAACGCTTCCTGTTTCCTGTTGCTATCGCTGCAACTTGAAAAGAGTATACTTCATAATGGACAAATCTTGAGGAGGAGTTTGAATAAGATGAGGATATATACAAATATATATATACATATAAATACATACACACACACATATATATATATAGATACATACATATATTTTTATTACCGGTGTGCGTGTTTCCGTGTGACACTTCAATTTCTACCATGGCTGATGTGCAGATGTTCGGTTCAGCAGTTCTGAACCTGGCACGAGGCGGCACTGTAGGTAGGATGTACTGATGTTGATCTAAGCAGATTCTAAATTATGTAAGTGATTATCATACAACATCAGACAACCTCTTGATCTGGCAATACATCAGCTGGTTTCTTTCTTACTGGAATATTCATTTTTCTGAAAAGTGAATTATTGTAATTGCAGTTCATGGAAAAATACTTCTTTGAAACTTAGCCCAATCAGAATGCATTTTTATTCATAGTATCACAAATTGGAAGATAGTTTTAACCATAAGAGTTTTTTTAAACTCTAATACTATATTTAGCTTTGAATAGTAATCCATGAAGGTTCAAAACTTACTAAGGTGAGGTTCATTCACCAAATAATTCACAATGGATGTATGAAATTCTTTTCCATGAACTTGTAAGCATAACATTGAAAATCAAACTATATTTTGGTTTGAAGGAGAAACTTGGCAAGTTTCCATGAATGTTCTGTATTTGCAATCAGTAATGTTTTTCAGGAATTATTGAAACAATGTGAAATTTTATTTATCTGTGCTTGTAGATTGCAATGTTGTCGTTGTATGTGAAGAATTGTTAATGATTTAAAAGTCCGGAAAATTTGGAAATTTCTTATGTTGAAATTGAAAATGTAGGTTGTTTCAGGGAAAAGAAATATTGCCACTGATTTAATATTTTCTCGAGTTAAATAGCATACTTTATATTTGCAGAACGTAGTTCCCCCTGAAAGTTCACTCCTACAGATTATTCTGTGTCGTATGTGTTGTCCAATAAAGGACTTAATATTATAAAAATAGATAATACTTGCTTTACCTTTTCAAACATGAACAGCTCCTTTGTGAACCTTCGTGCAATAATGTCATTAAAGAAAGAAGCATCTGTTGGAGATGACTATATGTGTCTGCTTTTGATGTTGAGAAACCAGCTGTCAATTGAATTGTTAGTGGAAAATTATTTTTACGAAGTAATGTGGATATTTTGTCAAATGGAAGTAGACTTTTTGTCTCCCACTCATGTTATGTAGTCATTGCCAAATCAGAATATTTAAAAAATTGATTCATCAAGTACTTATTCTGTAAAAATAACAAACAAACTAAAAGAATCATTTTGAAACAAGATTACAAATCATGGTAGGGGACATACGAGTGCTTGTGATGACAAGATTACAATGGTAAATATTTTGAAATACTGGAAACTTGTGATAGACCATGATTATCGTGCAGTTTTATATATGCACACTTTTAGATAAGGTTGAGTCCCTGTAAGGTTTCATAGCAAAGTGGACTGCCGCCTCGTGTCTTACCCTGGCCAACATAGATTCCAGACTAGAAGACGCTGCCTTTAAAACTAGTTGTGCCTTCGTACTAATGCTGGGAGGCAGCGTGAAGCGTGCGGCATGTGTCGCGTTGCGTGACTAAGTACGTGTTGCGTGACCTAAAGTTGCATGACGCAGGGGCTCTGCTTCTCGTCAAGTACGCAGGCTGTTCGTTTACTGATAATACTAAATGTTCTTCTCTGAAAATAAATATGTGTGGTGCATCTTTATATGTTTTGTTCAATTATTTATGGAGTATTGTTTGCTGCATCTTTACAAAGACTTCCGTTTTTGTTATCTGGATGAGAGCCATTGAGCTGTTATTTTAAATTGTGGTTGAAGATAATTTGTTTTTCAATCATGTATTTGCAATCTGTAATCTTGCAAATATCTTGTTCAGTCTTGAAGTTTTTTCTGTGTTTATTTTAAGAAGCTGGAAAGAAAACCTATTAGACAATTATGTTTTTAGGAATTTTTCTTGTGTGTTTTAAATTAATTTTAATGCACTTTTAATTAATATTTACTATAAAATTTAACACATGATTTAGTAATTATTTTATAAAGATGCAGGAAATAGTACAACTAATTTTCATCCACTAATTACATCCTATTATCTTGCAATGTCAATTCTGGTTATTGGATGGTCGGCATCAAACCGTAACTAGAGGGGGGACACTGCTAATTTTGCCTCCTAATTGTCCCAGGGGTAGTAACGCTTGTCGTCAATACAATGGAAGTTTAAACATTGTTGTTTATTATCAATTTTATAATGTATGGAACCATTACTCAAAATTTCAAATCTTTTGCAATAATCAATTTTTGCCCAATATGGACTGCAGAAACGCTAATTATGGTCAAATCAATGATTAATTTCTGCCATACATGTGTTTTTATTTTAATGTGGACAAGAGTTTGATCAAAATATCACTCTTGTACAACATATATTTTGATTATTCCATCATTAATGTAATACATTATCACTTGGTTACCTTTTCAACAATAATACGTTTTTTCACTAAATCTGAATCTCAATGTGTCATTAAATGTAACCCAGCCTTGGTAAACTTATTTCTTCAGCATAATATATAATATTAGTCATTGAAAGTCATTCTTCAATTTATCAAATTATCAAACTTAACATTTCAATGTTTGACTCAACATTTCATAATTAATTTCTGGTGAATGAATTTGTTTCCATTCCAGCAACATACCATTATTACCTCTCCATTCTTATTTGACAACATAAATTTCTAGCTGTAAGCTTAAAGATCTTTCATCATTCTACTATTGCTTTGCTGTTGGTGGGAATTTTAATTGAATATTTCATTCTGCAAGTTTTTCATAAACCTGCATCATCCATGAACTTTTGCAAACAGCATAGCCTAATCAAAATAAGTCTGATGCCTTAGAACAAAATGCCATATTTTCTGCTTTTTTACTCCCCCAACCTTTAAGTGACTTACAAAATCTCTATTACATATCTTTCAAAAGATCTATCATTCACTGCACTTCTGGCACTTATTCAAAAATATTATCAAGGGTCAGTGTTCTCTTTTAATTCTCAACTTTGTATGTTTAGTTTCTTCTAAATATCTCCAAAAAAGTTTCCCTTCTTGAAAATGAACTTGGAACTTCGATCCTTGAAATAGTTCTTGGTTCAGTAGAAACTGACAATTTAGACCAACTTGTGGTGCTTCAATATGGAGAGCATGGTCTTACTCATATTATTTGAAACATTAAAATGACCATAATGATATTGTAATTTATGTACTTCAGCTGTCATGTGTGCTTTCTTTATCAAGATGCTAAAACTTGACGCACTATGGCTGCTACATTGTATCTTCTAAATCACACTTTATCAGTAAAATTGATGATATTGTTGTGGTTTTTTGTTGCATTCATGATCAATAACGTGCTTTGTGATACTGAATCTGTTGATTGCAATAACATTTGTTGTCAGCATCTGTTTCTTCAGCAACAGTGTTTGAAAGTTTCTTTAGCTTTTAAAACCCTTGCTGAACAATTTTCTCAAAACTAATTAATTTAATAGAATGTAGTAAATTGTAATCCATAGATATATTATCAATTTACTCAATGGTATAGATTTTTTTCCCTGGAACATTTGAATTCTAAATATTGTGTTCTATCAAAAAAAGTTGCAAATCTTGCATATTTTTCACATTTCTTAATTTATCAGCTTTGTCATCGTTTAATTGAAATAAGCTTTTGGAATATTTTAGAAGAGCCAAACATCTTTTCATTACATGAAAATTTTATAGGATAAATTTAGAATGGATTTTGAGAAAATTAGCATTTCTAATATTAAATATTTGTATACATTTTTAGAAAATCAAGTTTTATTTCAAGTTGCTCGTACATCATGTGATTTAGTACACTTTTTCTTGAGAACAAAAATTTTAAAATCATGGGTACACTTTTAGACTCAAATGTTTATTACAGATGGACACAAGCACTGCTTTCGCAGGGCTGTCTTTCAGTAAGGTGGGGCCCCAAGGCTTTCAAAGATTTGGGGGGTCTAAGTGTTCTCTGAAAAATGTATTGTCATTTTGTCATAATTTATCCTGAAATTAATATCAAAATTAAAATATGTGTTAATCATTTCGTTCGTGGTAAGCAAACAAAATGTAAAAAGATAATTAGCGTGATGGGATTAAAATCCTATTACAGTTCAGATTATTCTATATCACTTTTTCAACTTCCAGTAGAGGACAAGAATTCATTAGAGGGAGTGTGTGATAATTTTTTATCACCTTCATCACCCTTAATAATGGGTGCCTGAGGCACAATCCATGTCAGCCAGTGCCCAAAGATTTTGTCCTCAGTGCTCTTTTCTCACACACTCTTGTGTTTTTTGGTATAGGTTATCCTCAAAACTTACATTTTCGTTAGAATCTTAATGTCGATTTTGTAGCAGTGCATAACAGAATGTAAATAGTAAATGCAAACGTGCAAAAATAGTAAGCTAACTTGACTAGAAACTAGCAGAGCAGCCATCGGCAAACGTTATCGACAGAAGAGGAAGCTGTAGGAAACTTCTCAGGTAAGAAAATATATTCCGTATGCAGACAAATAATAAAGGGAATTCTTCACAGTGAAAGCAACGTGACATTGCCTTCTGCGTTGGGAAAGTCATTTAGAGATGAAGCCAACAGTTCTGAATGTTGAATGATGACGCCATTCTCCCAGAAAGCCGAGGTTAACACTTGTGAAACTAGCCAAAAAGTAGGCCTATGGTGTGCGATTAGAGAACAAAAAAGAGGATTCTCGTTGAAGCTAATAGTCCCGTTAATCCTTTAATTGCCGCCTCAAAGCGACCTCTCGCAACGATACCTCTATCCAATCAGAGAACTTGCCCCACTTTCCACTACATTTTCGATTGTCAACATCCACCGATAATTCTATCGCGTTAACGGCAAATTTTCGGCAGAAAAACTCTTATTACAAGGCCCGTGTGGAAAAGTGAATGAGTTGCTAAATTAAGAAAAATATCCTCTAACACTTGGTGTACCCAGAATTCACGTTTTGTAGGTCCTTGATACCGAAAAGTCGATGGACGGCAAAACGTCTGTCAGTCTGTGAACAACGTTAGCGACTAAACCGGTCAGTCGATTTTCCCCAAAATGCATACTCCCCGATCGATCTGGCTGATGTCGTGTCCCTTGAATTTGAAAACAATATTTTAAATTTGGGGGATACTTTAAATGAAGCATCTGGTACATTTTCAACATTTTCAAAAAGAATTGCAGCATCGATTTTAATTAAATTTTATTGTTGGATAGTCTAAAGGACGTTTAAGGGAATGAAGCAGGTGTCATATAAGTTGAAAACTGTAATTTTTCGAAAATTGGAAAATATCAATATTTTCCTGGGGACTTCCTACAACTAAACCATTGACAGACATTTTTTCCTTCATGAAATCTATTCCTTAAAGATATATTAAAAAATAAAATCGTATATCTGAGTACTTTTCGCATAATTTGGCGTGAAATATAGGCAATTTTTAATTTTGTTTAAACATTTTTTCTCAAAAAACGGCTCCATCAATTTTGATTCAATTTTGTTGTTGTATAGTCTGACTGACATTTAAGAAAATTGCGAAGGTCTCATGATGGTGGATAACTTTGATTTTTCAAAAATTGAAGAAATTTAATTTTTTCGACTTTGTCATACTACTTTAATTATGTAGATACAATTTTTGTTCTAAATGAAATATTTCATTAAAATCAGATCTTCAAATGCTGTCATGTTTAATTTTTCAAAATCGTATTTTTTGCGAAATTTTGTGTCAAACAGGCAATTTTTAGTTTCTTTATACTATTTTTTCTTAAAAAAGCTCTCATCTTTCGATTAATACAATAAAAAAGGTATGTTAAACATAACACTTATCTCGCTCTAACTACCTTAACAAAGAGCTCTTACACTTCTCTCGGTGAACTGGAAGCAACGAAATGATCCTCACTCCTAGGAAGTCTTGTAAGCCGGTATTCTACCATTTTCTTGTCTCTTCATGTATGAAGCAGTGGTTTTTTGTCAAAAATGACTTACTTAAGGGCGGGAATATATTTTCAGCAAACGCCGTTGCCTATATCTACAACATTCGACGTAGTAATCATTTTCATCAGGTGACATTATCAACAGCTCACTACAAAAATTCACATATAATACATGTACATTATTTTACAATACATTGCCAGATGACATATAAACGATTAAATTCGATACAAAAGTCCCAAGTAAAATGTTTTCTGTTGCACAACTGTTTCTATACAATTAGAGACTATACACGTCCAATTTCCCTAATCCTTGAACAAATGCTGAGATGGTCCCTTGTTTTGCTTCTGGAATAAATGTAACTTCAAATTAACTTCTCCCCTAGCACGTCACACACAGTTTCTAACTGTTTTTTGGTGTAAATAAATAGACAAATAAACTCTTACCTTTGATATTAGCCGAAATTGAATGCGTATAATAAAATTATAAATTTTGCTGGTTAAAAATTATAATGTAGAAAAAATTTTGAATTTTTGCAACTGTCGAAAAATCAGGGTTTTCAATCAAAATGAGACCTGCACCCTTCGCATTAATGTCGTTCATACTATCGAAAACCAAATTTAATAAAAAACATTGTAGCTCATTTTTTGTTTAAATGACCCAGGGGCTTAATGTAAAGGCCAATGAATGTCTAAAATTTCCATTGATTAAACATTCATTTTGTAATTTATTTTAAAAAAATTGTGTTTCAT